CCCCACATCGCAACCAAAAACAAATCAAAACAAAACAAACAAACAGAATGAACCCTAAATTCATGGTGATTCGACTGAGGAGCTCTAGTTATCAAAAATCGAGATGAACTGCAACTACAACGACCAACTGCATCTAGCAGCAGTACTCGATTACGTAGGTCGATGACGTCCAAGTCGCCGTTCCCCGGTGCAGTGTCGTGGTTGGTAGATCACCTCTGAAGACCGACCCCTCCCTTCACAGCGCCTGTGATTACAACAGGTGGTGCACACTTGTGATTCCCTGGCCCGAGTTGGAGAGACGAGACAAGTGCGTGAAGGGTGAAAACACTAGGGGTTGAAGCGCCTGGTGTATTTGTACTAATAGGATATAAAACGATTTTTGTTTAAAGTTTGACAAAGCTGAGGATATCTTTAAGCCAACGCGGAAGGTCTAGTCGAGTGTGCCCGAATCAGGACAGGCGTACTTTTTTTCTGTAGGTTTGTGGCTTCACAGACAGAATAATTTTTTGACATTTGATTGTCGAGGGCTGAAAAATAGAGGATTAAAAGCATGACGTATATTATTAGATAAGAAAATAAAGCCATTTAATTTTTTTAAAACACAGTTGAGTAAATTTAAGCCGAGGACAACACTTTATGGGAGTGAAAGACATTTTCATTTGGTGTAAGTTTGTGACTTCAGAATTTGGTTGTGGAAGAGGAAGATACCAGTGGATAAAACTAGTGATTTTACTGATAACAAAAGAATACAACGAATTATTTTTAAAAATCAGAACCAAAGGTGAGTAAAGTTAAGCCAAAGATAAAACGCTGGGACAGTAAATTGTATGATGGTTTACTTAGGTCGGAGACTTTTCGGAAAAGATAAGAGTATGGAAAACTGGAATAATTGGGCATAGTGTGTCAAACATGTACAGTTTTAAATAACAAAAGAATAAAAATCGATTTAAAAGAAAAAGAAACGAAAAGTTGATTCAGTCTAAGCCGAAAACAAAATACTCTGAAATAGAGAAAGACATTTGGTTTATGTATTTGAGTTTCCGGACAAAATGATTCTGTGTCGCGACATAAGAGTATGGGGGACTAAAATAACATTGGGTGAAATGTTCGACGTTTTGTATTAACAGAAAGAACAAAGTTGGGTATATTTAAGGATAAAATACTCTGTGAGAGCGAGGGAAAAGGGATGTAGGTTGAAATTCTCCAGACAGAATTCTGTAACGGCAAAAGTGAGTTTTGGGCTTAAATAATTATAATAGTGGGTGAAATGTGCAAAGTTTGCCATAAACGAATATAAAATGATAAAGAGAAAGAATTAAACATTTTCAAAGAAAAAAAAGAAACAAGGTTGAGTAACAAACCAAAGGTAAAATACTCTACCATAGGGAGGTGGGGACAAGGGGTGTAGGCGGAAATATTTCGGACAGAATGATTCTGCGACGGCGTCAATGAGGGAGGGACGAAACTAACAGTGGATAAAATAATAATATGTGACGTATTTGTAACAAAAGAATTGTTATAAACCGATATTAAAGCTGAGTAAATCTATGCCTGCAACAATCGAGTCTGCATCGTTACAGTCCCGCAGAATGCCCAGGTCTTAATTTTTCGGCACATAATTCTGTTATGTTGGGAGGTTGGGGTTGTTTGTTTGTTTGTTTGTTTTTGTAAGTGTTTTACGGCGCTCGCAACAGCATAATGTTTTATGAGCGCGCGGGACACATTAAACATTTTAAAGTGGCAGAAAAGTTTTAATTTTGCCAAGGTTGCGGTCGGATCCTACTCCTATCGACTTCTGACCACCAAGGGATCTTTAACTTACTCAACTTGCACTTGGAACCTCCGAGATTTTTAGTCCTTGTCTGTGAAGGCTAGGTGTAGATCTTTCCTACCAGAAGGTCAGGGGTGTAGCTGAAAGATACTAGTAAGAAGGAGCAAAGGTGTAGCAGTAGAAAGGCTGTAGAAAGAGGAGGGGGCACAGCGGTTGAGGAGGTGGGGGCACAAAATGGAGACAAAAGCAGAAGACGGAATATTGTTAGAGTTCAGGAAAGGATGTGAAAGGATACAATTTTAGAGAAGAAAAGTTTCCGTCGCTATCCGGGTTCGAACCCAGAACCTATTGAATGAGAAGCAAACACCTTAACCTGTAGACATCAAGAACCCCCTGACATATCAGTGTAAAAAGATCAAAAGAACAATAGATTAAAAGTGTGAAGTATTTGTAACAAAATGAGTATAAACAATTTTTAAGTAAAAGCAAGAAAGAAAGAAAGAAAGAAAGAACGAATTTTAAAAAATAAAAACAAGAAACATTTTTAAAAAATAGTAACCAACGACAAATGTGTTAACAACCAGGCAACAAGCGTTCTGAATGCTTATGTCTGAATTTTTTAATACAGAATTCAAAGATCGCGAAAGAGAGTGAAGAACGAGACGCTTTAGTATGTCTAGCGTACTCAGCATTAACGTCGTGAGTTACAGCGAAATAATAATAATAATATTTGGAAACATCTTTTTCTCAAGTAATTGTAGCCATAAAAAAGGGGCAAAAACAACAACAAAATAAAAAACACAAAAAAACGAAATTTACCCTGCCCCTAAAAATATTCTAAAAAACAAACAAACAAACAAACAAGCAAGAACACGCACACAAAGACACAAAGCACATTACCTGCTGCTACCTGATCCCACCGCTGCTACCTGATCCCACCGCTGCTACCTGATCCCGCCGCTGCTACCGACAGCAGGAGGTTCGAGACTTAGCTCGGTCTGACGTTGTGTCCTTAAGAAAGGCCCTTTACACAAATTAATTTTTCATGTGGCTCGGTCCTATCGGAGATGGACGGTAAATTCCGACGTCCTGTCTCTTGATTAACTTGACAGTGCTGCAATGGGACTTAATGAACATACGAATAGAGGACTATAATTTTGCATATTATATTTAACACAAAGCGTTCCTATACAAGAGCTCGTTGTCTTTTCTCTTCTCAGATCTAAAACACCTCTTATAGCCTTTGTCTGCTGAGGCTGACCCCAGTGACGCTGCTGATGTAGGATGTAGGCAGTCTGCCTCTTTTCCTTTTGCCCTCTCACACTTTGGAAAACTGTGCTAATCAGAATCATTTTGGACAAATTTTACGAAAGTATAAGGCGATTTCGTTGGAGAAAAACAAAAACAACAACAATAAAGCAAACAAGAGAACAACAACAACAACAACAACAACAACGAAATTGGAGTCGCTCTGAGCAGCCCATAAACAAGACAGCCGGGGTAAGGACCGCTTGGACGTTCAGTTGTGACTTTCTGGGATCAAGAGCAACTTGTTTCAAAATGGCGGGGCTGGAGAAAAGCAGCTGGAGCAGGGCTCTGCGCATTCGCAATCAGACAGTAAGGGAGATGCTGAGCGAGATGTTGGGGACCTTCGTGCTTACTGTAAGTGTAACTGTTTATAACAGTCTGCCTCTTTTCCTCCCTCCTAGTATCTAATATATCAATCTACCTCTTTTCCTCTCACCTTACTGTGCTGACATTGAATGTAACTGTCTACAACAGTCTACCTCTTTTCCTCTCACCTTACTGTGCTGACATTGAATGTAATTGTCTACCACAGTCTACCTCTTTTCTTTTCACCTTAATGTGCTCACATTGAATGTAATTGTCTACAACAGTCTACCTCTTTTCCTCTCACCTTACTGTGCTGACATTGAATGTAACTGTCTATAACAGTCTACCTCTTTTCCTCTCACCTTAATGTGCTGACATTGAATGTAATTGTCTACCACAGTCTACCTCTTTTCCTCTCACCTTAATGTGCTGACATTGAATGTAATTGTCTACCACAGTCTATCTCTTTTCCTCTCACCTTAATGTGCTGACATTGAATGTAATTGTCTACCACAGTCTACCTCTTTTCCTCTCACCTTAATGTGCTGACATTGAATGTAATTGTCTACCACAGTCTACCTCTTTTCCTCTCACCTTAATGTTCCGACATTGAATGTAACTGTTTATAACAGTCTACCTCTTTTCATCCTTCCTTAAATCTATAACGGCCTGCCTCTTTTCCCCCCTCCTTTATGTGCTCACGGTAAATGCAACTGTCAATGGGGGCGTAAAACAGTTTAGTGCTACAGGCGAAACGCTGATGACGTCCAATTTATAGTCCTTATTCTTCAAATCCCTAAGGCGCAACACATGGAAGGGGGGGGGGAGGGGTTGATTGAATATTGAGCCTGTCTAAAATAATCATTAGACGAGCATTTCAATTGTAGGACGCACTCACACACACACACACACACACACACACACACACACACACACACACACACACACACACACACACACACACACACACACATGCAAGCACGCACATGCACGTGCATACATGCACACCCTCACATATGTATACATGCAAACACACAGAAATACATTTTTTAAAAATACAACAAAAACTTCATAGAATTCTACACGTAAAAGATACAAAGTCTTTGAATATTAATTGTCAGTAGCTAGAAAAACATAAAGCCATTGGTTTTCCGCCCTGTTACGTAGTCCTTTAACAATCTTGGCAGTCAGTTGGTTATGCATGATAACATCACACCTATTGTTTACAGCGTCTGGGGCGCCCACAAATTGACAGGTTATGCTGAGTGCCACTGTCCATCTAAGAATGGAGAATACAGAATGTTTAGAGTAGCTGGCTGAAGACTGTCGAAAGAAAGAAAGAAAGAAAGAAAGAAAGAAAGAAAGAAAGAAAGAAAGAAAGAAAAAAAGAAAGAAAGAAAGAAAGAAAGAAAGAAAAAGAGAGAAAAAAATAAATATAAAGCTTCAAGGTACAAACTCAACGTGTCTGGCTGACATGCCAATCCTCGTGTTCAGCAAAATGTACAAGAAAGAAATATGCAGAGGGAAAAGAGACAGAAAGACAGACAGACAGAAGAAACAGAAAGGAAAAAAAGAAAAAAAGAAGAAAAAAGAAAGACAGAAAATAAAAAAGAAAAAGAAAGAAAGGCAGACAGAAAGAATTAAACATACGAACAAAAGTACAAACAATAAACATATAAATTAACAAACAAACAAACAAAATAATACTATGTATATCATCATCAAGGTGGCCTGTAAAACTGAAAGCTATGTGCATTCCCCTAGTTAAATTCCAGACTTCTGGTATTCAATGCACGTTGTCCCACCATGAAAAAAGGAAATAGATAACTACGTGAAATAGATGGTAACATTATAAGGGAGGAAATAGATACGTGAAATGATGATATAAAGTAAGAAATGGATAGATAAGCGAAATAGATGGCATAAAGAAGGAGATAGTTGGATGAGTAAAACAGATGATATAAAGAAGAAAATAGATCGATAAACGAAAGAGATGACACAAAGTAGTAAAAAACTAAATGAGTAGAATAAATGATATAAAGAAGAAAACAGATAATTGAAGTCTGTGCTATAAAGAAGGGAATAGGAATGTTAAAATGGAATAAAGACGGAAATGAATGGATAAATGAATTATATGATATAAAGAAGGAAATAGGTGCGTGAAAAAGATGATGAAAAGAAGGAAATAGATAAGTGAAATAACTGATATAAAGAAGGAAAGACAAATGAGCCAACATAATGTCACACAACAGGAAATAGATCTACAATCGAAATAAATCCTATAAAAGGGGAAATAGATCAATAAAATAGACGATATAAAAGATGTAAAAGATAATAAGTGATTTAATCTCCGAAGTCAAAGTGGTGAAATAACTTTAAACCGAAAACATGCAAACATGTAATAAATAAGGAATTAGATGAAAAACCAAGATAAATAAGAGATAACTGAACCTATTATATGGATTAATTTATAGATATAAATATAATGTAATCAGCTACTCAGCAAATAGATAGATAGATAGATAGATAGATAGATAGATAGATAGATAGATAGATAGATAGATAGATAGATAGATAGATAGATAGATAGACAGATAGATACACGCTCTCTGTATCCCCTCCCACAGCTCTTCTCTGTAGCGGCGGGCGCCCAGTACACGCTGAGTCACCAACAGAACGCCTCCTTCCTGGCGCTAAATGTGGCCAACGGTTTCGGAGTCACCCTGGCCATCTACAGTTGTGGCGGTGTGTCCGGTGAGTAAGTGCTTTGATGTAATAATAGTAATGATGATGATGATGATGCTGATGATGATGATGATGAGGAGGAGGAGGAGGAGGAGGAGGAGGAGGAGGAGGAGGAGGAGGAGGAGGAGGAGGAGAAGAAGAAGAAGAAGAAGAAGAAGAAGAAGAAGAAGAAGAAGAAGAAGAAGAAGAAGAAGAAGAAGAAGAAGAAGAAGAAGAAGAAGAAGAAGAAGAAGAAGAAGAAGAAGAAGAAAAAGAAGAAGAAGAAGAAGAAAAAGAAGAAGAAGAAGAACCGAAGAGCATACAGTGCACGCTGCGGATTGCACGCGCTCAAACACTAACAAACAGACAAGATCTTTCACTGTCTAAAGCCTAGTACCCACTCCCACCTAGGTGAAGTGAGGAAAATTCGTGTAACATGCCTTTCCCATGGACACAAACTCGGGCCCCTGACTGGATTCGAACCCAAGACCTTAAGGTTGCGAATTGGAGAGCGTGACCTCTAGGCAGACTCTGAGTTCTCGCAACGCCCGGGTACTTGTCAGCAAAACCTTCAACAACATCTCTCGTGACGTCAGACACCTTACTGTACTTTCTCACTTCTCCCCCGGGGCGTTACTGCTTAGCCATCTGTCTCCTGCGTTGTTTCAACACCAATATTACTATTATGTGTGGCGTCGCAGTCAAATGGGACGCTCGTTGAAATAATGAAAAGGATGAAACCGATATTTTCCCACCCTTTTGGAATATTTTTTGGGTGTTTATTATGAGCTCGGGGCCTTTTACGTCTATTTAAAAACACATTCCTGTGTGGATTTTACCCAAAAAATTGTTGATCAAAGGATCAAAGGCCAAAAAAATGAATAAATAAATAAAATATACATTTGAAGTTATCAAGTATACTCGAGCTTTGGAAGTCACCAAACTTTGGCGCGCCGTTTCCTCGTTAAGTCTGCATTTGACACAAGGCGACACTCAAATCTTTTAATTACATGTGTACTTTTGTACAAGAGAGATCGGGTGGGGGTGGAGGTTTTTTGTTGTTGTTTTGTTGTGTTTTTTTTTGGGGGGGGGTCATTAAAAGCAAGACAAAGGAACATGTTTTAGGATTATACCAATAACTCTTTATGCCCAAAAACTGACGGGAGCCTGAAAAAATCGTGAAGTGACACCTACTATTTAATTTTTTGTCAGTTGAATGCTCCATGCATTACAAAGCCATAATGTTCATGTAGTCACCACCACTTAGATATGTCTCGTGAATTCGGGCTCTGTCTGCATCAGCCATTTGGGAGAAAACCGCGGACATCGTTCTTTTCTTCACGGTTAAGCAAGTACTGGTAACCAAGTTCTATTGGTGTCACATTTGAATAAGAAATGTGATCTATTTATCGATGCTGTAATGTCCCCATTTGATCTTTCATAGTGCGTCATAGTTCTGTGAACACATTAGTACGTGTCAACTTTGAACTTTCAACAACAAAAAATAAAAAAATTCGCCAATGTCAGATTTGCTCTTGCAACGTCACATTTGAACTTCACATAATTAGAAGGGAAAATACTATAGACATGGCGAGACCTCTCTGCTTTCTTTACGTATCTCCTTTTTGAAAAATAACAGTGAAAACAATTCATAACAAAAAGTGAGCTTAAAAAGAAGTCACATTTTCACTGTTAAAAAATGGAGATACGACAAGACAGTAGTGAGGTCGCGCCATGTCTATAGTATACTTTACATAAGAAAGTGGCCCGAACTAACAGTTGAAACTAGTTGACGCACAGACTTATACTATACCATCCTAGACCATGCACTGTCATGGCCGGCAATTTTCGGTTTGTTTGAAAAGAAAATTATTGCTGAAGAGTAAATGTGCTGATTAAGTGCTGAGATCAATACTACTCTCCTACACACAGGCGTAGGAAAAATAAATAGAAATACGCATTTTGTATTTTTACTTAAAGTTGTGAGCACATTCTCTCTTTGTGACTTTTAGACAGCAACAATACATTTTTTTAAAGACTGTCTTTTTCTTTTAAAACAGAAGTTAACGCAGCAAACGCCCCAATCCGCTGTATTCAAGTATACATGGCCCCTTCTCCCTTTGGCCATCATTTGGTTCAAATAACGCGCCCTATACGCACTCCCGAATAGCGTCACAGTGAACTGTCAAGGTTGTTAGAATCATAAATACACACGTATATGGGTTGACCGTACATTCTCCGACCCTCTCAGATCCCTCACTGTTATTTTTCTTCTTATCTAGCACACTCTGCAGGGGTCTTAGAAAAAAAAATGACTTACACGAAGACCCAGGGGCCCTCACGTGCGCGATATCTGTTTGCCTTTTCGCCGATTCCGTCTCTTAAATCAAATATTAACTTTTGAGAAAACATGCCCACGCCCAAGCGCGACCTTGGTCTTTTAAAAATACATTCCTGTATAATATTATGAATGTTCGTTGACAATGTTATGTCTGTTTCACCGAGTATAAGCTTATTTTTGCCGGGTAACTGATAAGAATTGTCAACCGTAAGTTTATCTTACACTTATCCCCCTTTCCCCGCTCCCCTGCACCCGCGAACTATAATCCGCATCCCCACCCCCACCCCAATGTCCCTCCTTCATATCTCTCATGGCCAACCACCCACACCTTCCCTCTTTAGCGAAATCATACATCATATCATAACTATCCCCCCC